CCTCCTCCAGTTTCTCAATACTGTGCCTCTTTGAACTGTTCATTCTTCGTAAGCATACCGCTCCACCAAATTGTGATCCGTAGGCCACCAACTAAAAAATCCGGAGATGATGCTGATCGAGACCAGGCAGATAATAATGCTCATCACCGTTCCTCCAATGGGCTCTGATGTGTGTAGGCCTTCGGGATTCGCCCGGCCAATCATTTCTGGAGCCGGAGCCATCGTGTCCCCGAGAATGTGATGTCGATTTCGAGTCGAATATGGTTCGTTGGATCACGATCTTCCGAACATGAAGAGGGCGGTCGGGGCGGGAAGGAGGTGCCAAAGGGGGCAGAAGAACTATATACCAAGCGCAACCGCAAGAACCGGGAACGCTAGAGGAAGGGGATCGACGGTTTTGATGTCCAAGCTACACTTCGTCTCGCAATGTCTAGGAGGGGGACACAACCGTCTTTAAGTTTCGTCCAACAGGTGATCGAAGCGTGCGTGCAGGGACGGGAGGGGATGGGGGCAGCTTAAGGTGCAGACAGCAAGCCCAATGCTGCTACAAGGATGGAGGGGGGTGACCGATACGCTAGAGGCAAGGGGGAAGAATACCTAGACTCATCCGCCTGTGGCCTTTTTTCCCCCTTCTCCTCCCTCTTCTCTATCTCTCTGGGTGTGTACCTCTCTCTCCTAGCTCGAGGGGAACGTACCCGGCGGAGTGATCCAGCTGGATACGTGATAGCAAGAAAACCAAGCCCACTTAGCATGAGATCAAAGGCGTTTGTTTGTTTCTGGCTCTGGCTTTGCTGGGTGGAAGCTATTAGTCCATGGTCCAAGACCGGCCACAGCTGGTTGACTCGGAAAAAGCCACTTCGAAGTACCTACTAGTACTGGGTGGACGTGAAGAAGTGACGGCGTTGAAAAATGAAAATGTCCTAGATGATAGCTCCATGTAGGTACGAGAAGGTAACTCGAGTAGTGGCCCCTGGTGCAAGCCACAGGGAAGGGTATTCCAAAAAGTTCAAGATTCCCGAAGAAGAAACGGTTTGAAGACAGCTACCTACACACACACACTTTGGAGAACAGCATGTACGTGAAATGTGTGTACGCCCGCTGCGGTGGTCTCGGCTGGGAGCCAAGGGAGAGAGTTGAAGGATTGTGAGTGAGAGACAGACAGACGCACAGTATGCCCGCCGTCCGGGCGTGCACAAGCCAAGCCCCAAACGGGCAAAAAACTGAAGAGAAGGGGAGACGGGCACCTTACCGGAGGGCTTTCTCTGCATCCTCTCGGGAGGGAAGAAACGGTATCGGTATTGGCTACCTTAGCAGTGCATCACCCCCAGGCAAAGGTGACGACAGGAAACAAGAGCAAGAAAGGCTGTTTCGTCGCCAAGCTCATGTCACGGTGCCGGACGGGGGACGGGGCCGGGGGGTGACTGAGTCGAGGTGGAGGGGCAAATCGTTACGAGAGGGAAACTCTAATCCAATGTGCCCTTTAATCCTGCGTGTGCCCTGTATCTGTCTGACTGTCTCTCTCTCTCTCTCTCTGCGCTAGCCTTGCCTTTGGTCTGCATCTCTCTGTGCCTGCCACAGCCCACAGGTCGAGTCCGCGACAGGAAGAGCGGTTCACCGAGCGTCGTTTGGTAGTGGGTGGGTGGGAAGTCTACGCATGTCTACGCATGTCTACGCAAGACTTACATAGACTACTGCGTAGCTCGAGTCCTCGACCAGGAGCGGGGAGCTCGTACCCTTGTCTGGTTGGACGGCTCGACGGCGCAAGGCAGAGGGAGGTTAACTGCGACTCTGCAACGGAACAAGGGTATTTGGACTCGAATCTGGTTGCCGATCCGGCCCATACACCAACCAGCTCCATTGAATATCGACGAACCTTTGACCCTAAAATTTCTTCATGTTGACCAGGTGTATCAAGCGGATTTGCTATACTGCAGAGAGCATATTGCATGGCTGGCCTGCTTTTCCTCTCTCCCACTCACTTTAGCTTTGTCAATGGCACCCTTCACTGGCTGAAGACTTTTTTGCGCGCTCAACTAGATTTGAAGATTAGCTCGCAGGTCCCCGTCCCCACCTGCGGTCCACCGTTCAACACAAAGACGCCGCGATACGTAAAGCTCCGCAAGTGATAGCTGTGGCATGGACCCTTTCTCGAGCGCCTCTGACGAACAGCGTACAGCGCTACCGCTGAGCACGTCCTGATAGCTTGCGAGCGACTGTGCACATGCAATCCGGTCTGTGGTCTATCGGTCCCGGCGAGCCGTGACCCCTGGCTCTGGGCCCTTTGGGAGGGGCTGTGGTGGGAAAGAACGGATATGTCGATGGCACTTCCCGTACCGATAGTGTTTTGGTGCAGCGGAACGACGGAGTAGGCAGGGATGGAAATTCTGAGCCGCAGGTCGACAAAGGAGCCAGAGGCGCAGGAGGTGCGGATCTGTAAGTACCAAGGCCCATCGCCGGTTCAACACAAAGCTGGGAATGGAATAAGCATAGCCGTTCTTGGGCGCTGGCTTGTCTTCGCCGACGTCTTGGTGGTCCCCGGCATAGGCGCGACACATACGCGAGACCTGTTGCCGGTTATCTCACGCCTCATCCGGTCGTTGCCTTTTCAGAAGGTTAATCTAGCCGCTTGGCCACAATGATGTAATGTAAAGCCTGCTTGGCTTACGGCCGGGTGATCGCTCGCGTCCGGAAAGCGACCAGAAGATGGCAAACAAATCAAAGAAGGTTTGGCAAGTCAGATACGTCAAGAGGGCAAAAAGTCCTGACTCAACGTGCTTGGAAGGAATAGAGACGAGAATCTGGCAGGCAGTCGGCCGACCGCACTGTCAGTCAGAATGACGGCCGAGACCGCTTCCTTCGTTTCTCATGGTGTTCCCGTTCCTCTGCCTCGCAATTCGCTGCACCCCCGGATTCTGACGAAGCCATTGCTGAAGATCCCTTGGAGCTAGCGCTGAGAAGTACGTAAATGTTTGTTTTTCAGATTGAGGTTGTGTAAGGGAGCCCGGGCGGGCATCGTGCATCATTTCGCGATCTAGGGTTCGGTTGACCGTTTGAGTTGGAGGCGTGGCATGCCGGCTGAGGCACTCCTTGCCTGGCGGCTCAAGAGATTTCGTGATCATGCGGGCACGCTATGTCGAGAGAGAGCGGCCGTGCAAAACGTCCCAAGAGTCTGAAAGGGATTGTTCTCGATGGTGCGGCTGACCTTGAACGCGGCAGGCACAAAGGGTTCTCTCTACCGATCTGTCGGTCGAGCGCCTTTATGGCATCCGGACAATGGCACCCGGCCAATCACAATCGTGGCGAGGAGAGAGCTGAGTTTGTAGCTCAGTGAACGAGCATGGACAGGTTGCTTCGGGCACTCCTGCGTTTAGGTTGCCACGGATGCCGCAATGTCGCAATCTTGGTCTTGAAGAAGCAGGCATAATCCGCAAGGTAATTGTGTAAGACCTCCGTCCAGAGTTTTTTTTTTCTTGTGTGTAAAAGACTTGACGACTTTTCTTGGACAAATGTCCAACGTGGTCCTCCATCGCCTCCTCCTCCCCAGACTCCAGAGCTACCTAAGCTGACTCAGGACACCGCAGTCTAATGCGGCGTAACCAATCGAGGTCCCGGTCAGCTAAGGTCTAGCTCGGTCTAGACTTGGGCTAGTGGCTGAGATGTGGCTGCCGGCGCCGGGTATCGTGAGGCACCGTGCACTCACTGGAAGACAGGGCCGGCAACAACATCGACACCGGCACACGCCTTTCGTCGCCATCAACCACATACTGTTCCCTTTTCGTGTATAGCAGGCGACAGGCCTCAGGGGCCCTTGTCGCGCGCGGTGCTGTACCTATGTCAGGCGCCAGGCGTCAGGCGTCGGGCGTCATGGCAATCTGACACTAGCCCGCCCCAAGAAGAAGCTGAAAGCAACTCTGCATCCATCGTGAGGCGGCAGGCCTCACTGCCGTAGAAACGAAAGTCCAAGCTGAAGGTCGTATTTCAAGAAATTGGACTGTAGTAGTAGTAGTAGTAGTAGTAGTAGTAGTAGTAGTAGTAGTAGTAGTAGTAGTAGTAGACAATTATCGTTCCATTCCTGCGCGCGGAAGGCGGCAAGCGAGGATCCAAGGTAGTAGCAGGTGCAGATCCCGTGTGCGATCCCGTGTGCGATCCGACGTCCTCAAACCAGAGCGAATGAAGTGCGGTTGCAGTTGCCAAACGGGAAGGAAACACCAAGAAAAGCACGCGAGCGCAAAGTGTGCGAGATGTGTGCGAGTCTGCGAGGGACCCGACAGAGACACAAGGACGCCAAGTTCCAAGTCCGAGGTATCAGGGAGAGACAAGCAGCTGCCGGGAATTCGGAAGAAGCAAAGATGAGCAAACATTTGGTATCCGTACGAAGTAAGGTAATGCCATCGTCAACCACAAAGAGATACGTATCGCTGGAAGGAAGAACCCTTTCTCCGTTACTCCCCGCCCGAGGTCCCCCCCTACCCCTCCCCCGGGACTGAGGTGGACGACCCAGAAATACTGGAGCCACACGGATAAGAGCCCCCCTGCTCGCCTCGCAGGAAGCGGAGCGGTCTGTGCGACGTGTCCCGGGGAAAGAACCAAGAAAGCAGGGGTCCCTCCCAGCTCCTGCTTAAGTCTTGACTGACGACATCACCGTCAGCCACACGATGCAAGCCACGTCGGCAGCGCGGGGGTGGCCAGTGAGACCTCACGATGCCATCTTCATACCAAAGAGCAGCACTTTCCACTGTTGTCATGGGTAGTGCCGCGTGGCTTAAGGCTATACCGCTCCCAGCTCTTGCTCAATCGGATGGGTTATCTCAAAAGCCTGATCGCCCCTCGAGGGCAGGGCTACAACCTTTTGCGCAAACGTTCTTTATTACGTACAGAATGTTCGAGGAAGCCTTTCATCACCTCACTCCCGTAACCTAATCTTGCGCCATCCAATCTCGTTCCGCGGCCCGCCAGATCTCTCTTCGATTGTCAAGGTCGCCGGCCCGGCAAGCCCGTAGTCCAAGGCACGCGATCCTCATTCCGGGCAGCGCCTCTTGCGGATAGCGTGAGATCCGAGTCCTGGCCCTTTTCCCCTTTCATGGTCCCTACGGGAGACTATACTCTCGCCGGACTGTTGCGCCCACTCCCGACACCGAAGGAAGTAGGCGGTATCCCACCGGTCCGCACAAACAAGGTTTTCGATCACCTCGACTTTGTGTTACCTACCGTTCATCTCTTTTCCCTCGGGAACTCATCTAGTGCACGATGGGGCCCGCCGGCCTCTGAGACAAGACATTCCCAGAGTAAATCAGCGAGGGGCTCTCGCACAAAGCTGACAAGGTCCCCAGCACTCTGGTTCTCGGGACTCTTGGCAACCTTGAGAGCTGCATTAGAGATGATCTTTCGTCCACCGGATTTGGGTTCTTTTTGGACGGATCTAGTCGTCGATCTCTGTGAGACACACGACGAACTCAACCAGAAGCTTCTGACATTGGAGTCTCTTCGGCCTCTTTGGTGCCACAGTGCCTGCCGTGTGTACCGTGTTTGTGTCTTGGCAAATCGCTATGACCTACGTGTCTGTTGATTGCACGATACTGGGCGACCTTCTGTGAACAATTGCAGAGGACATTACAGAGACGCTATTCAGAAGAGCTCTGAGTCACTGCAAGGCATAAGCAGAAGGGGCTACTCTAAGTGTTGTTTGAAGATCGCAGGGTTGTCCAAACATCTCTTGGACGGCAGAGCATGAGCCACTATCATTCAGAGTGTCTAGAGAACATCAGAGTACTCCGCAAGTAGAGATTTGCGAAGACTACTTACTTAGTCAGGTGAAAGACTTCAAGGTGTCTCAGCTTATTCGTAATGTCCTTCGCCTCTGCCAAGACCTCAAAGAGCTTCTCATGAGAAAAGCGACCGAGACCGAAACACACCATTTGGGCAGGTAGACCGCCCTACACCACTCTGTGATACAGATACTTGCAGTGAAAACATAGAAACAAATTTTTACTTTCGAGCTATGGAAATACCTTCTAGAAAGCATGCTACTTCATTAGACTTCATAGTCGGACAGTTTAGTCTCGTGAAACGTTGGCGGTGGCTTCTAAATAAGCCAAAGGAAGATCTCGGTCCCTAATCTAGCTGTGATGGGAAGATCTTCAACCTTCAAGAGGCTTGAGGGATTGTAAGAAAATATATGTCAACTCAAGGAGCGTCTAACACAGGCCCACCTCCAGCTCCTCGAGGTGATCATCGGAAATCTTCTCTACACCACATGGCAAACTTGATCGCCAATTCGAGCGTAGAGAGAGTATCACGAAACGACGATAGGGGGTGGGAAAAGCTCTATTCCTGTCCACAACGCCAATAGAGTCTCCCAAGCATCGACGGTGTTCTCACCAGCCCGCAAAGAACCTCAAACACGATAGTTGCCAAGTTGCGAAGGAAGAAAAACATACACCACACCAAGGAAAAGATCACCACCATCCGCCCCTGACTATCACAAAACTAATCCTCCTCCCGCCCCCCTCCGCGCCGTCCATCCTCCCGCCGAAACAATCCTCCCTCGAGGCGTTCCAAAAAGTGCCACCAAGAAAGAAATCTCGGGAACTTCCCGTTCGTTGCCCTTTCTTCTGCCCTTTACTTCCCTCGACCAGGAGGGCAAGTGTTTCCGTCACGCCTTGTCTTTATTCCGTCGAAAGAAAACGGGTTTCTTCCTCGCCGTCCTCGCCGTCCTCGCCATCCTCGCCGTCCTCCTCGCCGTCCTCCTCGCCGCCGCTGAACTCCGCCTAGACACCTCTCCTCTCCTCTCCTCCTCCTCCTCCTCCTCCTCCTCCTCCTCCTCCTCCTCCTCCCCCCTCCCCTTCCGCTGAGCTGGCGGCGTCGACATTAAACGCCACGCATCAAGTAGATCTTTGCCATCCAAGGTAGGCTGAACGCTAAGCCCGTTCTTCTCTTCTACCCAGCTACCTAGGTACGGTACTCTTCCCTCCCACATTCGCTCCACCCGTACCGTCCCCATCGATTTTTGGTGTCAATTTGATTCCAGATGGTTGGTCTTGGCTCTCTCTGAGCATGTGTGGCTATTCTCTATCCCAATTGTCAGCTTTCAAGAGGCATGGGTCACCAACAGGCTAGTCGAGTCATTTAATTCAGATCGTCATTCAAGTCCTGTCTATGCTATGCACTGTTCGCTCCCCTTCCCTGAATGGCTTGCTCTGTTTCTTCTTCTAAAAATGTTAAGCAGCCCCGTGTGGTTCCTTGGCCAAACCCGTGGCTGAATTGTGCAGACGTAGGGACTGACGACGGCTCTCGTTTCAAGCCCTTCTCCTTCCTGCCGTCTCCTCTCCACGCCATCTGTTTGATGGCGGTTTCCCGTAACCATCATGCCAGGGCTGACTCCGTTGAACGACACGGACTAGTCAAAATATACAGGCGCCGTCGCTCAACGCTCAACGGCTGAAAGCAAATTGAATAAGCCGGCGTCGCATTTCCGCCATGCTTCCATAACCCGCTCAACGCCATGCAATGCTGTCCTTGATGTTGTTTTGTGCCCAGAACGCCAATGTCTATTCGTCGAAACTTGAAAAGGGGATCTGGTCCACTTTGACGCCTGTGTGCCGCCCCAGATACCGTGGTCGTAAGTGTGTGTGTGTGTGTGTTTGTTATGCTGTTGTAGTCGTTGTTCTCTCGTGTCGTTAATCTTTCCCCCAAGACTTGCTTGGGTACATCCGTATTTCGTAGTCTACGTCAATGTGCTGAATGACTTCTACGCTGATCTAGGACTGAGGTCCTGTTCGAATCCGGAACTTGTCGCGCAGCTTGTCGGCCAATCTTGCCCTGCGGCTCCTGTCGTTCCTCTCCTCACCTCCAACGTCGACCGTGCTGCTCCCAGCTTCACCTTGTACTTGGTGCTGGGTACGGTATTGTCGAAGGGCTTGGATACGCTCTTCTGCCGAAGCGTGCCTCAACCTGTTGAGGTCAAACAATCGGGTCCTCCGTCTCTGCGAGGTGGAAGAGCCATCGCTCTCGTGACCGTCCAGCTCAAGCGGGGGCGGAAGTTCATCACTGGGATTCTCTGCTTCCCCTTGTGGACGGAGGTCAAGACGGCTGAAGATGAACGTTAGCAGGATATCCAATGAAAGCCTAGCACGTGACGGAGACGATGCAACATGGGCTCTGTAAGAAGGCAGCGAGCTGAACTCACCATAACGGGCATGTGCCTGAGACGTTGACCAGCCAGGGGTCTACACAGTTGGGGTGGAACTTGTGGTTGCAGGGCAGCACGCGGACATCTTCACCGACAGTGAAGTCTTCGGTGCAGATTGAGCAACCCAGGTGCTCATCCTCCTGTCCTCCAGCATCTCGACTGTCAGAACCAGCACTCTTGGCAGCACCAGCAACTCTGGCAGCTGCTCCGCCGGCAGCAAGGGCACCAGTCGCAGTGGCGGCCGCATCACTAGTCGTAGCAGTAGTTGTTTCTGTCGCTGTAGCAGTGGCCCCGATATCCTTGGTGCTCACCGGAGCAGCGGCACCCTGCCTGTCAACAGCTGTGTCGTTCGTTGGTACATTCGATGCGCTCTCCAATTCAACATTGGGATCCGGCTTCGCCTCCTGCCGCTCGCCAAACTTGACGATGGGCAGAGTGTCCAAGACAGCGCGGGCGAGGCCCTTGGCACGGCTCTGGCGGGGACGGCCGTTGAACCCGTTTCTGGGACCGTACCTCTCAGGGTAGCGGTGTGCCCTGACGGCGCCGGTGGCGATGATGATCAAGAAGAGCAGTGTAATCAGACCCGTAATGCTGTACAGAATGCTCATGGCGACAGCAGAGTTGTTGCCGCCCCCACCATTCCCTTCATCGCCAGCAGCGCCAGTTGCGTTTCCTGTAATGGTGACCTTGAGCTGGTCTGCCTCATTCGTGCCGTTAAGAATGCGCAGGGCCTGTTGGGAGTCTCCAGCATCCGCCATAGTGAAGATGGAGTAATACGTCAGGTCCGAGCCGGCAAGCATACACCAGTTGCCAACCGTGCTGTACAAGACAATAGCCTTTGGCTTATTTTCCATCAGAGTGCCCAACATCATGTTAGGGTTGATGAAGCCACTGCCACTGCCATCTTGAGTGTCGCAAGAAAGGTATGCGACCTGGGTCTTTGATTTGATCTGATTGTAATTCGAAGAGTCGGCGGCTACCATGGTACCCTCAATACGAACTGCCTATTGGGTTGTTAGTAAAGTCTTGCATTCCATGGTCGATCAGCGACACTGCTGCGCTGCGCGACCAGATGATGGATGGCTTCGTACCCCGCGGACAACGTCGGACTGATTCAAGCCCAGGTTCTCCGTCGACGGCATGACGATGAACGATAGTGGAACGGTGCCACCAGCCGTCGACAAGGACATCTGCATGCCCGATCTCTCGCTCCATGATGGGATGTCGTTTGCGGGAGTGATGGTTGCGGCCTGCGCCATAACGCCGACGACGGCGCAAACCAGGATCTGTAGGAGTAACGACGCCATCGTTTCTGTCGATTCGATTACTTCCTCTTCTCACGTTCGCACGACGGTCGACGTCGCTTTCCGGCGGAACGGAGGGGGAGGGGGGAGGGGGGAGAGCCACGGGAGACTTCGTTTATTTCGGACGACAAAGGTGCGAACTGAAGAATGAGGAGGCGCTCGGGGAAATATGTCGGAAAATGGTTCAAAAGGCGCTGACTAGTTGGTATGACGGCTCAAGTCGCACGACGTGGAGATGGCGTGCAGTGCAATGCGTTCGCAGATTTGGTACGGAGGACGGGAAGTTTGGTCGGGCTCGCTCGCTGGCAGGCCGAATTGTTGGAAGAGGAGGGGGATTGGCGCGTCACATCTCCTCGGAACCGTGAATATCAATCAGATGGTCATTTCCATCCCCAAGAATTTGATCGTCAAGCGGCCGAGCGAATGTGCGATGTTGTACTGGTAGAAATCGCGTGTCTCTCTGCAGGGTGCGGCGGGCAAAGTATCGGGGTATCGTGGTCGCTATTACTGTCACGATGGTCCTTTGGGTATTTGGTTGGGTGTTGAGATGCGGATGGGAAAAAGAAGGGCGGCTCGGCGGGTAGTGGTGACGGGGTCTTGGGTGGTGGTTGAAGGAGGAGGAGGGAAGAGAGACAAAAGTCACCGGAAGGGATGGGGAAGGAACGGTAGTGGCGGGTCACCAAAAGACACACGGCAAGTGAGCCGAACGGGCATCAGATTCAGCGGTACGAAGAATACCTACGTAGTATACGAATAGTGTATGGAGTACATGAGATCTTGGTGGTCAATGGCAGGGCGAGCAAAGTACCCACCCTTGTCTAGTGGAGGAATCGCGAGCGCCAAGACGAATGTGGAGAGATGGACAGCGGAGGTCGGTCTCACTTGCGGCGACACAGGGCAGCCCGGGCACCCGGGGGTTGGTCAGCTGTAGCAGAACTGGGACAAGTCGGGTGACTCGACGGGATTATCCAGTTGGCAATTCCTGATAATCCATCGCAGACTACAATAATTTCTCCGCGTAACAATTGGCTGGGGTGAGGTATATCTCATTGTCCCGTCTGGACGGCAGGGAACAGAGCCGCAAGTGAGGCACAGCAAAAAAAAAAAACTTGAGACAGCGAGGAACTCTGCCCAATGAGCATATCCGTATGGCATATCGTATCTCGCACCATTTAGGAATCTCGCACCATTTAGGACTTTAGGTTGGTAGTGTTATTAGGCTATCAAGGTGTTTCTCTGACTGACCAAGAGCTGACCAAAAAGGGGGGATATGCGCATTATCCAGTATCCTCCCAGTTGCCAGTGCACATCACCACCCAATCTGCGCAGCCAAACAAAGGAACAGCAACAAGCTGAGATGAACCTGATCTGATTGTAAGCCCGCGCGCAAGTCGAAGCTTAAAGTCCCACTTTGTCGAGGGTCATGTCATATTTCGTGGGCTGTGACTGGGTCAGAAGGATTTCCCAAGATGCCCGGTTTTCTTTTGGGGCCGCTGAAAGACTTTCAAGGTTGTCTCTGACCTTCTTCGAGACCGGCGAGACCACACTAGAGAGTCAGGAACGTTAGTGAAGCGAGTCGAGGAGCTGCCGTCGGAATGTACCCGCACGCCTAAAACCGGGTGGGGGGATACCTTACTCGACGGGGCCACGTCAATCGCAAATGTTCCGAGGTACCCGCCTGCTTCGAACTTCCTTCCTCAGTGTTCTCACAGAGTTCAGTGCTCAACTCTCTCTTCACTCTTTCCCACATTGCCAATGGAATGGAACCCATCACATCCGAGAATTTCGGTACTCGAAATACCTTCTCAGGCAGGTGGACCTCTAAACCTTTTTTTCCATTGCGCCTCATTGAATATCAAAAAGAAACTTGCTCACACGAGACTTGAATCGACATACGGATGTTATCGAACCATTCCCGCTTCCGAAGGCGTTGTTTACAATCCACAAACCCGCGCGACGCCCGTCAGAGACGACCATCTCCCGTGTTTTGACTGAGTCCCGGCAGCAAATTCCCGAACAAAACGGCAACATTTGGCGCGTTCTGACTGGCTTACGCTCCTTGGCTCCCTCATCGCCGTCAAAAGAGACAGCCAAGCCTGGGCGTTTTGCTGGGCGGCCAGCACACGTCTTCATCAATTAGAAGTGGCCAATTACACCAAATCTCATTTCTGCTTCACCGCAATGAGCACCGGTGGTCTGGTCATTTCCCAGACTCGAATCTCGAGTCAGGTCCTCCTTTCATCCCAGGCCTTCGCTCGAACCGATGCCAAATTTCTGTCACCGGAGAATAACCAAGAAAAAATGATGAGAGGAACTCCTGCACGATGGCACGAACCACCAACTGACCGCGAACCTGTCATGGCTGCATACGAGACACTAGATCATTGCGTAAGCCCATCAACGTCGCCAACAACTCACTGACAATGACAGCAAACAACAACAAACAAAAAAGATAACGGCACAGCCGCAGTATCAGACGGGGGCAGTCGGGGGGGGCTAGGGCCTCGACCTGCCCTTGACTCCCAATGCGAGACGTGTCGGGGACGAAGATAATCAGGGAGTATCCTATCCGTACACAACGAGGAAAAGAAGAGGCTCAATTATGCGACACGGAGGTCAACCGTCAACCGACAAGGTCCATAACGGCAGGGAAGAGGGGCAACGCCGCCCGCCCGCAAAAAGGGCTGGTCCAGAGCCTCAATCGAAACAAACCGCAGCAAGAACGCGGCAGAAGTGAGCCGCATCCATCACATCACGGATGAATCAGGTCTTCGGGAAGAACCATTTCCCTCCGAGAGAGAAAAACCGCCTTAACCTGCTCTCCTTCTTCCTCCGAGTCCCGGCTCGCGGGGGAAGAGCACCAGGGGGAGGAGAAGGGGAGCCTCAGAAGGGCCCTGCACAGATCGCCAACGCATCTGATGCGACCGTAGGACCCGGTCTTGGCAGGCCCTTCGAGACTGCCCTGTGACGCCTCACAGCTGCCTCCGTTCAAGCGAAGCCCGGCCAGTGTCACCCGCTTCGGATCACCCGTAAATGCCATGCTTCACCCGTCCGTCCATCCTCCGTTCCTTTTCCCGCTACAAAATCTGCCGTGTAGAAAGAAGCCTGAAATAGCCCCCCTTTTTCTTTCGGGATGCGGGCGACGGACGGGATGATGAGAATCAAGGTGTATCGAGACTCAAGTACTCCGTAGTCTCGTTAGTAGATAGTCGGACGGGGAGTTAAGAATGGGAAAAGAAACTAATGTGAGGCAAATGCGTGAATGTCCACGGTTATCTGTAGCCACACAGACAGCCGCGCCCCTTCTCAACTTCTTCCCCCGCAAAACTCCCATATCAACCGCACATCTGGTCCTCGGGATCCCTGCATCCCGACCGTCCCGTGCCTCGCCAAAACTCCGGGAGCCTCTCACAACCTCTTCTCCTCTCCTCTCTCAGCCTCCTATCTGTTCCGTTCTGTTCTGTTCCCCCTTCCCGTCCGACCGAGCCAGACTCGGCCAGTCAGAGGCTCAACGGCTTCGGTAAGCGGGAAGAGAACTGGACAGCAGGTGGACACCAATGGGCAGACAACCAACCCTGGGCTGAGAGTGTCTTGAGGATTTACGCGCTGTGGGTGGGCCCCCCCCCCCCCCCCCCCCCTCAGCCGAACGAAACCTCCGACCACGCTGAGACGGCGAGCCCCGTTTGAGCGCAACTCAAACCGATAGAGCTCAATGCTATATCGTCCATCGCACGCCCGGTTGTCTCATCTATTTGCTGCCCTTCTTTCTTCCTCGTTGTCAACATTGCAAAGCCTTCGCTCTCAGTCTCACCAATCTGTCCTCTGCATTATCCTCTGATTAGTCTTACTCTTCGCAAGTCATCTCACAGGTAATTAAGTCACCTTCGACTTATCCCCAGCCCTAAATATCCCGTGCATCAAACCGTCAAGATGACCTCGCCTCTACTCATTTACTACAGCGTACCGCGGCAAAAATCTCGCAAACAACCTACCAAAGTACCTCAGACCACACTCCCATCAACTCCAGTCAACCGCAGCTCCATCTTTGTCGCCATTGACAGCACACATTCGGGGATCGGCATCAGCCCTGTCGCGCGGCAGATTGGCATCGGCACCCCATCTCAGACGGTCCAGACGGATCGGCCTGAACCATGGGCAATCTATCCGTACCTGTGAAGTCTTTTTGACGTCTCGCCATTCGGTAGTCCGGCAAGGTATGGTTCAAGGACCAGCCATAAACCACCAACACGAACCCCTTAACCTCTGACAACGACGTCCCGTACAGATTGCAAAGAGCCTCAAGCCGAGAAAGAGTTCACATGGCCAGGTCCATGCCCTAAATCCTGACCCTAGACGCAAGGCCCTAGATTCATGGAACCCTGCTTCGTCATCCCTCGCCCGAGAGGACTTTGCTTCATCGAGTGATGGCCCGGTCTCCGGTCAGTTCGGATGCGAAGTTCGCTCGCCTAGGGGGGTTGGCTCTCCAGTTGGGCTTCCTGGAGATAAGTAGTCCTCGGTCTACCCGCGGACCTCCCTCTCCGCAATTCCACGTGGCGTTCTCTTTCTGCCACATTTTGCTGAACCTTTCCTCGCTCAACCTTGATCGCCAATATGTGCTCAGGTGAGCCATGGCTGGCCGTAGGCCGTATTTCCCCATGGCACTACAGAAACCCTCCCGAAGAGCCCGGATACGTTCTCGGAAGCTGAGGCTGTATTCGTTTGGTCTGTCTCGCCAAGGTAATTATCCGGATGTTTTTGATAATGCCGTGTCCGCTGATGAGCCGACTCCGTCTGGTATGATGAGCTCACCCTCACGTGGCCAGCTTCCGCTTCCGCTCATGGTGCCTCGCCCTCACGAAAGGGGCGCAGTCGCGGCTGCTCGCCGTCGCGTCACGAGCACCCAACTGATCAGAACTACAGCGCGGATGAAATCCACGTCTGAATCTTGTCTTTCTCAGTTTCGCACTCCATTCCAACGCCGAAGCTCCGTACTCGGCTCTCCGTCCCAGGCTGACCCCCGTAGCAACCCGCCCACGACAATTTGAAAGGCCGCAAACCCTCTTCATCCCCCCGGACCCCCGGACCTTTCCCGTATGACTTTCTCTTTCGTAAAGTACCGCCCGGTACACACCTCCGACGTCAAACTTCAAGCTTCCCTTCGTCATATCCATGGACGAACAACTCTGGACGATCCGGAGTAGGGATACGGCCTTTGTCCCAACTCTCCTCAACATAGCGTTTGACATTGCATTAAATGCATTGATCCCGCGCTTGTCTGATACTTTCTACTGGCCCCCCATCTGGCCAGCTTGACGAACGCCACGCCAATGCAAACATTGTTTGTGGTTCGCCCGCCCTCCCATTCGGCTGCTTCGGAACTTTCCCTGCACCTTTGCATTAGTGATCGACCGTCGTTCAGTCTCAGATGCCAAACTCGTCTCTTCGCCATCCATGCGGCAGAAATCCTCATGCTCGTCTCTACCAAACCTCGTTGCTCTTTTCCTAAACCTTCACCCTCACAGCAGGCCGTAGTCGGCTTCACGTGAGATGCAGTTTGTGAGAAGGCACCGTTGAGGTCTTCGTGGTATGCACGATGCCTCAATGCTACTAGAAGCGTGTAGGGACATCCTGATGTCATGCCAAGGTGCAGCACCCAGTGAGAAAAGGTAGTACGCAAACAGTCTGCCAATTCCGTCAGTCACAGCCGGTATTAAGAAATAGATGGAAGAAGAGAGGAATTGCCTGTCATCTGGCAACCACACTCGTACCTTTGGTAGAAACCCATGCCAGGTATATAGTCGTTGTAGTTCCAGCTCAAACATCTGTCGCGTCCGAGGATTTTGTTTATCCCGGATCCATGACTGCCGGCTAGCATCGACGATGCTTCCCCAGATCATCATCTGCCCTATCCGCCGGGAACCAGGAGGCTCAAGACTCAGCACGGGGTCGGCAGACACCTGATTCACGCTCTCCGAACCTATCCAAAGTTAGCGAGACACAGTCTTCCCTGACAAACGTTGGACATGATTCCTGTCTTCGTTCATGCCATTCTATTTTGCAAACTTTCCGCTGAATTTTCTCCTACACCCCACAAACCCTCCTGTTCCTCTTGCCATGTAGGCTCTTTACCTTTGTCCCATTGTCAGAAGATCAGGCACCGAGAACGAGACATCACCCTGTCGTCGAGATCGAGTCACGTCGCCGAAGCGGACCCTGCGCAATGAAATCATTGACACAAAACGGTATCGTGATGTCTTATGCATGTCCCAAGGAGTATTCTGACCTGATAGCCAGCAGAAAGTTCACAATGCGTACATGGCGTTTCGTCGCTAGAAGAGTCTTCGACAATAACTCATAATGAAATCGGTAATCCTGGCTTCAAGACTTGACTGCAGCTCTTGCCTGTCCCGCGCTAGATTCTGTAGCAAGCGCTGGTATAACAGAAGATCGACTAGCTCGCAAGGCCGTTTAGAATCATCCGACCAAGATGACCGTTGGGCCTGATATGGATAGTGTTCAAGAGCCATCTGGTTTCGAATGCTAATACCAGGCCAAAAAGCATTGTGCGCAAAGACGTGGCTCGGGAAGCAGCCGGTCACAGAAAATTAGGCGTTCTCATGCCGCCGGGTCCGACTCGGAGACTTCCTCACCGTGGAAGACGCCATTCGATGGTTATAGCAAGCCAGGTTCGGATTTTCAAAGACAGGAAACGAACTCATCCACGAGGCGGGTTCATCTGAAGATGTGCCGAAAGGAGGAGAAAGCAACGAGGTGTCGAGAAATGCGATGGACTTGGACACCGTCCGATATTGATGATACAGATTGGGTCTGGTCCTTGACGACACCGCCGAGCCACCGGTTTCGCACACAGGGCATTCATTCTACTCGAAAGAGGAAAAAGCATCGAAACTTCCTATTACTGCATCGACCCCCCACTGATGAGTTTGCTGATCAGTCCAAGACCTCATCTCTCCGTCGAAAGAAAATGGGCCCATCTCCACCAGCCGCTCGTGAAACCTTGACGCGCGAGTTCGTCCCATTTGCGTATCCGGACTTGAGCTGGGGAATGCTGCACAGAAGAAACGGGGTTTGTCTGCAAGTAGCCACGCGACCATCTGAATGGGTGACAAGAACTCCAAAGCGCGGCAAAGATGACGCCGAGATGGCGCTTCGCTTCTGTCAGATCTCTTCCATGTCTTCCAGGTCGTCCAGGACCGGCCAGTCGCCAACTTCTACCCGCTCGGGCCTCACAAAGACTCCATGCTTCAAAGTCGATTCCTCGCCCCAATACCGCGTTCCGGCAATGCTGCCGTCGTTCTTGCCAACGGGTTCATCAAGATGAACTCCGATCCAAGGACCCAGACCGCCAGGGATTTCCTTGACATCACCAACATACCGGACAGTTCCTCTCCGAGAATCTTCTCCGCCCACACGGCATCGCTTACCAACTTGGATGCCCTTTTGTTCGATTTCTTGCTGCAGAGCATCAATCTTGGCCTGCTCGTGGCTTGGCGCCTCGGGGTCGAAGCGACCAAGCTTCTGGGCTTTCTTCCAGGCCAGCACAGAGTCGGACTTTTTGGCGTACTCCTCCTCTGGCATAACGTACTTCTCAACTGCCGAAGTATCGATGAAATTCGGGCGAGCTCCCGCTGGCCGAGTGTCAACCACCTAGATATGGAACGATCAGTCACAGGGTTTCTGGAAACGAGCACGGATAGCTGTTTGCATCGAGCTGTAAGTCCCACTGCCAGAGACTGCGAGGCTCACGTGCCGTAAGACTATCAGAGGCTGAGGTCATTATCTCAGTGATAACAGGTGCAGACCAGCCTCATGGGTCCGTCCGGCTGTGGCACGTTGTGACCATGAAAAAGAGAAGCATGCTCGAAAGTCGACCGAGACGATGAGCTGCGTGGCATGTTTAGACGGGTATGGGGGTTACTTACATGCAGCTCGGCATATGGTGCCAGGGGGAAAGCTGTCAAGTATGCGCTGTCCTCATCGGATGCTTCAATCGGAACAGTGGCCGAGGCTGTTTTGAGGCTGATTCTCTGGGACGAGGGCGGGATACCGGTAATGGGTTCCAGCTTGGACCTCAGCTGGGTGATGGTCCATGATGGGGTGATGCGGCGCTCTGACGAGGAGTTGTCGGAAATGACATGCAGAGGAACATCGGCCATGGCGGGCGACTTGGGCTGCTTTCTGGGGCCGAATGGAAAGGAATCCGGGCTAGACTACGAGGAACACGTGGGGCCTCGTCGAGCTTGTTGGGTATATGGCGTTCTGCGGAGGTAAGGTAGACGAGGGAGTTTTTGGTCGGAAGACGTTGACGAGCGGCGAAAGGACAATGACCGCAGGGTTCTGGAACCGAATAGATTAGGTACCAACCGGGCAATTTCCTCTTGGTCGAGGAGGGGGCTGCACAGTAGGGCTGGATGGGAACGAACCCGTTAGATGCAAGTCAGATGCACGACCCAGTGGCTCTTGGGTTGCTGAGTATCGGCGTACCTAGTAGCGGGGTGAACGGGCGTGCACGATAGA